CATGATTCGATTGTTGAATTGAAATTTGACAAAAATCCATCATCTTGTGNTTTGGGTGTGAAATCTGTGGTTGACTCGCTGTTTCTAATGAAGAATTTAACTAAATTGAGTTTAAATCATTATGAAATGTCTCGATTTGGATTTAAACATTATTTCAGATTGGAAATGGAGTGAAAAAAATTAGTCAATTGAAAAATTTAACTGAACTCGATTTGAGTATGACAAGAATAATGGACTATGAATTGGAAATGATTGCAACCATGAAACAATTGAGAAAACTAAATATTTCTGAAACTAATCTTACCGAAAGTGGGCTAAAGTGGTCAGTAGAATGACACAATTGACCAATCTTGACATTAGTTGCAATAACAAATTTAATGGAACTCCTTTAGCAGAAATCATTAGTAGAATGACAAATCTGAAAGAACTTGCTTTCAGATTTAGTGGTTTGGATAGGGAAGGACTATTATGGATATTGGAAATGAAACAATTAACTAGTCTTGATATTTATGGACATTTATTTGATTCGAATGTGGAAGAATTAATTTATAATAATCTGAAACAATTAGTAAAGCTCAATATTAAGGAAAAACCACCATTGAATGAGCATGTCATTCCTCTAAATTATTCCTTTTCATGGTAATAATCATTATCATCATTTTGAACCTCTTTTCTCATTTCCAATAAACACTTTCAATCTTCTTTCACAAACTAAACTCTTGATTGTAAAGAAAATTGCAATTTTTTATGAAATGAACTTGTGAATGCCAAGTTCATCTTTTAAAAACTCAAAAAAATTGTCGTTGTTTGATTTGATAGTTGAATTGCTCAACAATTGAAACAATCAGAGAGTGATAGAGAGAGATGGGTTTATTGGATTATTTTAAGGTCAAATCGAGTGATGAGAAGGAGGATGATTCCTCAACAGCAATTAAACTTCCTAACCACAATAACATGAACCAATCGGAAGATGTGCATAGAATACATGATTCCGAAGATGATGATGAAGATGATGGATATGGAGTTTATGATGAGGTGAAGGAAATTTGTAAAATTGATGAGAAAATTCTTAAAGATCCAATTCAATTTATGGAAATTTTGCAAGTGGTAAGGGATTCAGTGTTGGATTATTTTGCATTGCATGAATTGGTGGAATTGCAGTTGAGTTGTAAATATTTTAATGAGATGGTGGATTTGTTTATTGTAACGAGAAGTGCAGTGTGGTGGTCTGCTTGTTGGAGGAGAACTTTCAATTACATGTATGGAGGCGAGGCAGTTAATAATCGAATAAGATTTGGGTCTATTCATTCCCATACTGAGAATACTTCAACATTCAATCATTTTTATGCCTCGTCATTATCAATTGAGGAGGAAATGAAACTATTTCCATTCGTGCTGGAAGGTAGTGAGGAGGAGGTTGCACTGGTGAAGGAGGAAGAAGAAAAAGCTGCAGCTCAACTCANACT